GAAGATATGTTCTGTTAAAATGTGTTTAATAACACTTAAAATATATTTAAGAATTAAATTAATTATTAATAGTTGAGATGGAGCCATTACCAGTATGTGTTTGTAACAATAATGAATATTTTCGTTTTTAAGGGAGGGGGGTGTAAGGTCTGATGATGTATGGGTTTTAAATTATATTTCAAATCTTTTCAATCACTTTTATGGTACATTTTTTTCCATTTGGGACATATTACCATTTTCCTGAATAAGCCTTTTCTCTGTTCAAACTCTGACTCCCCAACCCCTTACTCTGCTATACATGTATCATATTTGTCAACTGCATATAAGTGCAGCAAAGATGGCTTAACATATTCAATGTGATCATGGAACTCCTACTTTTTGTGCTTGGGAGTCTCAAGACTCCTTCTCTGTGAGAACCCTGCAACTGTTGGTACCAGTTGCACATAATTATATATCTATAGACTTGTGTGCCCCCTGAAGACCATTTGAATATGTTTTAATATTAAAATTATATATACAGTAGCTGTGTTATTTTGGTCCCCAGAATAGTGCATGTCAGATGCTCTAAGCTTATAATACAGCATTATTATTATATTGTTACAGAGGTGACCCTTAATCTTTTAATTGTCAGACCTGTCAGATGCAGGTTAGCATAGTACAGCGGGTGATTCAAAGGGAAAAAGGTACCATAATAAGCAGACTAGAAAGCAAATTAGTATGATACAGGTGTTACATGGTTAAATGGACTACATACAAGAAATAAACAACACAATATTCACATGTTGATGGTTTATTACAAAATGGTGTATGCATTGATTGATTACAATCTTTGTTTAAGTATGTTAAGCAAGCAACACATCTATATATGGAAATTAAGGACATTCTCCCAACCATAAATAAAAAAAAAAAAAAAAAAATCCCTACCCTCCTGATTTTTTGGACCAATGTTTCCTGAACCAGACATATTTTTTTTTTTTTTGGCCTTATAAAGAATTAGGTATACACATGTTATACACGTAGTTGTTTTATTGGTTGTATACCTGGATGATGCAGTATCAGTATATTTTAAGCACCCAATAACCTTCAGCCGTACCTGTACACCGTTCCTAAAATATTTGCGGCAAGCGCGGTTATTTTGGTTTTCTTTGTTCGTGCTGTAACCTTCAAATACATGTAGAAAACCATGTCTTCAGACACTCACATTTAAACTTAAAAGCAGACGACATAAATAACTATGACTCCTTTGTTCAAAACTAGTATATACATGTACACTGTAGACTATTATAACTAAAAGATTATATCTAATATAAACCGTGACAAACGTTTAATTTATGTATCAACATCGGTGTATAATGAGATACATGTACATGTCTATAGTAAAAATGTTGTTCTTTTTCATGAATTATTTCCGAATCCTACTTCCATTTGTGATGTAACCGGAAGTACATGATGTCAGTTCGTTAACTTCCGGCTATGATATTGACACCTTATTCGTGCATATCTCCGATATTTTTTTTTTCTACAACCTTATCTTAGCCACAGCCTTCTTGAAATATGTAACGAGAAAAAAAATACATATAGAATTTAATCCTATTTAATAAGAGCACAAGGAATCTATGCGTCAGTATCTATATCAAAATACGCTGACAAACTCAAAAAAAAAAATTAAAACATTAATCAAGGGGGAGAATCACGCCGTTCGTTACCATAACAAACAAGATGGCGGATGCAGCCGAAAAGTGAGTTTTTCCCTTTTTTCTCTGAAATTCGTAATGTTCTAGTGTAAAATACTATATAACAACCTTCTCCACAATTTTCCGCGCACACAGGATTTTATTTCATGATGTTATGTCCCGTACTTCTTCTGGAATGCGCGTCACAGGATTCGAAGCGAGAGAAATTTCCACCGGTTTGATCGTGATAACGTACGGCTTTTTCTCTCAATTTCACTGTTTCTTCAACTTATATGTAAATTTACTGAAACCACTGACTTTTAAAAGTTGTAACATGTCATCATCTAAGCATTCATGCCCATTCTGGCTAGAATTACCGCTCTAAATATTAATATCGGGGCATTTTCCGGAAATGATAACGTATGGCGCACAAATTATCAGTGATAACGTACGGCGCATTTTTCTACTTGGTGGATTTCGATTTGTCCAGTCAGCTGATAATGAATTACTTGTATGTAGGAAATGATAGTTATCTGAAAAAAAAGTTTGTCAGTTCAGAAATGAATAAGTGAACCATCATCGGTTTTAGTTGGTGGCATAATAGACAAAGATTCGTTGTTAATATACTAGCCTTTTTTACCAATAATTAAACAAACGGGTACAGTTATAAACTTCAGAATGGAAAGAAAAGCCTCAGCTTTCACAGGAAACATTTGTGTATTGTTGTTTTCACATTAAATTTCGCCAGTGTGGTGTGATAATTATTGTCTTATCGCCTTATAAAAAAGAAGAAACGCGTATACGTATAGTGCTTATTTACAAATTTCCGCCCGATTTTTTACAGAAATATCTCTGACATTTAAACACTCTATAACAAATGCAATTTATTAGGAAATTCATAAAAGAGTGACATGTACAAGTTTTAAAGGGATTTCACTTTTTTATTACATAAATCTCTGAACGTATGCATAATTACTTTAATTAGTGTTAAATAATTTTCAAATGTGATTAACCATTAGTAAAGCATCTAAGCAATGTTTTTGTTTTTACAGATAATGGGGAAAACACGTTCATCACTTGGCCGGTATACTCGGCGAACTGAGAAAAGAAAGGTTAATGGTATAAAACGGAAATTTTCGCAGTCACCAATGAAATCACCATTCAAATCACCGTTTAAATCAACGTTTAAATCGTCGTTTAAATCATCGTTAAAAGCACCGTACAAGTCACCTCTGTACAAACATCACCCATCTCCTGCACCTAAAAAAGTACGAACGTCTATGACAACCTCAGCGAGATCGCTATTCAGGCAATACAGCAATGCTGAAAATGACAAAAGTTCGATTTCAAGTGACGAATTTGATTTCTTAAGTATTAGCACGATATCTGGTGATGACGAAATTGATAGTTCAAGTGACACTCCTGATAATACCAGTAAAATGATCAAGCTAGTTCCAACAGTTATGAAATCCCTATCAGAACATGATAGACTTGATATTGAAATGACCAAGTTCTTTGATTTAGTGGCACAGGGTAATTTTCCCTTAAATAACATTGCATTTTTGTTATGGATAGAAGTGGTTAAATGGTTTGGGTGTTCATCAACAACACGGATGAGATATTCAATGCAAACCAAATTATTTTGGAAGTTAGGATGGAGGCTTTTCGGTGCAAGATTTTTATATTTTATGGGCGGTTTCAAAAGTCATAGCTGTTTAGTTATGCATGAAACTGAAAAAGGCTGTTATAGGACTTCATCATCTGCAGATTATTTTGCTAGTTCCAGATGCGAGTGTGCTTTCGTGACTTGATCCTTATGAACACCGAGGAGCACGAGGGCCCTGGAATATATAATGATGTTGGCTGTATTAAGTAAAGGCTTAACAAAACACAATCAGCATGTATCATTTTGATGGCAAAAAGATTAAACAAGGACTAACTGTAGATTCAGGTGATGTAGATTTACTCAATCACGAGAAAGGCCCAACTCTCCAACAAAGGAAGATGAACTTGCACATGATATGTTAGAAGTAGAAAATGCAAGTATTGACCTAAGAAACATTGACGATACAAAGAAAGGTGAATTGTTAAAGGTCCTAGAGAGTTCTCTAAAGAAAATTTCTATAAAAGTGAATCAGGTTTTGACTCTAAGAGAAAAGAAGGTATACTGTAAAACGAAGTTGATTGAGCGAAGTGGTGAAACAGATTGGAGAAAGGGCCGATATGCGTTTGCGATTAGCGCAGTTACTGCGTTCATTTATGAAATAGATGAATTTGTCAAAATATGTAAAAGAGTTTTAGAAAACATCTGTAGCCATGTTGCTTATCTGCACAAATCTAAATACTTAGAGGGAAACAGAATAAACCTCGCGTTGACATCGGTACTGATGCTCAGAAAGGTGAAAAGTCGACAAGATTAGTGAAACAGCGGACTGATGAGTGGTATAACCTTCGAAGCAAAGCTAAGGTAACACGTAGCACATTATATAAGGCATTAGGTTTTGATACTCTTGCTTCACAATAAGATCATTTTGAGAAGGTGGTGTGTGGCATTGAAGAAAAGAGTCCCTCAGAATTTAACAAAAAAGCCATGAAACACGGCACAGACAATAAAATAAACGCTATAGGTACCATTGTCGGGAAAATAATGCCGGTTCTACAACCAGGTCTGAACTTTTGCGAGGAAGGATGTGTAGTTGTCTACAACAAGAATAGAGAACCATTTTTGTGGTTTTACTAAGAGCGGACCCTAAGTTCAACCAAAGTAGCAATCGAAATCAAATGTCCAGTGCTAAAAGCGCACACTGTCTTCCCTGAGAGATATTTGCTGCAATGTTTGGCCGAAATTTTTTTTCTAAATGTTCCCTATCTTATCTATGTAAGTTGGACTGAAAGACGTGACTAGGTGTTTAAGTGTACGAACGGATGACAATGCCTGAACAAGCATTAAGTAGCAAAAGAAATATATGGAATAATGTCCTGTTGAGGCATCAAAAACGAAGATGTTTAAAGCAATTAAAAAAAAATAATTCGTAAATGTAAGAACGTAGAATCGTAGGAAGTTTAATTATGCAAGTTAAATTTGACTCTAACTTTTGAACATGAATTTCAGACGATAAATCACCATCAAACGGTTTTGATTAAAGTCTTCAATTGATGATATACAATGTAATACATGTTTGATTTGTTAGAACAACGGCATCACGAAGCAGTTGTATTTATGGTTGCAAGATATAGAGAGATATAGAGAGGCTTACGATGCAGTCCTGTAGGTGGTTTCAAAGGGTTTAGTCTTGATTGCAATACAATGCGTGAAATGGCGGAAGAAATACACACAACATGTTCTGAAGGTGGTATTCATATACCTTGTCAATCATTTGATGGTCAGTAGAATTCTTTGGTCGTTCGGGATAATAAAGGTAGTCCGTTGACATTATTTCAGTTGCAGAAAGATATTTGGAGAAAAAATGAAAACAAGAGTAAGGAAGTTCTTATCAAAGAACTAAAGGATTTGAACAAAACTATATCTTGGACCAAAGAAACTATCGTAGACGTCAATGGAGTCAGTAAGAGCTACATAAGAATGAGCAATGGTGGAGTAAAACTTCCACAATATAGACAGGTTAGTATTATGAATAAAGACAACAAAATGAGCAAAAAATAAGACTGTGCTGAAGAAAGAACTTACACGACCACACTTATGGATACAGTACCTGATTCAGTTAGAGAGGCGGCCGATATCGGCAAAGATGTAATGGAATTTACCACGATAAATGATCCTATTGAAATGGAAGCATTTGCTAACAATGCTAATGAAGAAGATTGGTCATTTGAAATACAAGATGAAAACAATCAACCTACAGGTGAAATTCTTATAGAAGAAAGTAGGACACAGCAAACAAATACAAAAGAACCCATTCTAAGTGGAACACATTTAGAAATAGCTACATGGAATGTATTCTAGCTATGTTCAAGAGATTGTAATAAGAAAGGTAAATGGAATAATGTCACACCGAATGACTTACTCGACTGTTTTAATGACTTAAAAAAATGAGAAATTTTCTTGATACAGAAGTCCGTGTTTGTGTAAGGTATTTAAAGAAAGCAAAAGGTTTGTCAAGAGTAAAAGAATCGAGTATAAAGTCTGTCAAACTTGAGGAAATGGCTAAATTTCTAGGAATGGAGGTAACAGAAAATCTTGGACAAAAAAATGTCAAAAAACGTTCCAATCAAATTACATCAAGTCTTCATGATCTTGCTTTGAAAGTTGTATCTAAGTATCCAAAAGCGCAGCTAAATGTGATATTAGCAGAGTACCGGTTTTTCGGACGAGTACAAAACCTGGATTAAACCAATTGAAAACATAAAAATCGACGATGAACCATGTGAGTGGTTCTATAAACCGGACTATAGTGTTTCTAGAAAGCAGGTAGAAGTAGAGTGTATAGACAGTACACACTTATTTACAAGAGCGCGAAGAAAGTCTTGTACTGGTGGGATTCAGGGAATTACGAACAAACCATGGACCAGAGTAGCTTCTAAAAGATCTACACTTCTCACTCCAATTATGGTGAGTGATATCACGGACCCTATGTCCGTTTCTATGGCGAAGACCCATTTCTCTGAGGGTGTCGAGTTGGACATGAGACACAATGGTGACATAGCAGCAGCCGATTTATGTAGAGACATCAGAAATTGGTGGGAATCTGAAGATAGACCTGGCATTTCGGCTTCAACCCGCATTAAAATGAGGAAACCGCTTAGAAAACGTTTACTATCCCTGGTTAACTTTTTTAGGTAAGATGAAATTAAATTGAAGTGTTCTTTTCGCTTTACTGTTTTATTGCCGACAATAATATTATGTAATATTCATATTAAGTCTTTTTATAGAACATTTAGATTTCAAACATGTAAAATTAGCTATCCGGGGATCGAATTAAAACATAAAATTATTGATGGCTCGTGTAAGACTGATATTCCAAATGGACGATATTTGAAAGCTTATATATGCGCTACTATCTCACCGCATTTTTGAATTGTTAGAATGACTAATTATTTTGTGTTTGTCCTGTTGAATAGTTTGGTTAATGATCTTGTATGTTGAAATTTAAGGTGCTATTTATTGTAATGTTTATATATGGATATATTTTTCCTAATAAGTTATTCAAACATCCAAAAATTTGTTAAAAATAACAGCATTTTAAATACATTATAATTAAACGTTAAAAAGCAATATACAAAATGAAATATTTTTTAAATGAAAAGTTAGGCTAGGCATTTATCAAAACGTTCTTTCTTATAACTTCCCTTTATTTTCATGACATGTTCAATTCGTTGATATCTTTACAAATAATGTAGATTACGGTATAAATAAATCTTCATTCAATCATCAGACTAATCATTTAGAATAAAAAAAACCTTTGAGTCGCGATTTACAAATAGGTTTTACATTTTGTATTTTATTTCAATCGCAGGTTTCCACCTGCAAAGCAATACGTTTGCGGCTGGCCCGTGCAATTATGGGAAGCTTTATTAGCAAACATCGACGCAAAGGCATACCTTTACTCGTTAGTTCACAATGGAACCTATAACCCTAGAGCCTTTAGTAGTATGATTGGCGAGACTTTTTTCTCAGAACTCACGTTGAACGACAGACGCGGACAAGGAACAGTGTCGGCCTCTGAATTTGGTCAATACATCGGACATGCGACGGAGCAGGTACAAATTAGGCTTGACGAAGACAGGTAATGAATTTTTAAAAAATATACGTTACAACTTAAATTGGTAATACGAGCTTTAAATCAATTACGCGCTAAATACATCTATACATGCATTGATTTATAGACATTTCACACAAGGCAACTATTGAAAAATGTTTGTATAATAAAATATTAACTTCAACAAGTTATTTCCAACTTAAAGTTTCGTAAATTTACTTGCAGGAATTTCTCGCTTTGTACGTCTAAAAAGAAAGTATACGACGTTGTTGACGAGCCGGTAGAATGCGGTTCAGATCACGACAACACGGGGTGTATGGTTTGTAGAGGAAACAAAGACAAAATGCCACAAAATATTTGTCCAAAGTATGTATATTTGATAAACAGCATAAGGAATAACATGTGAAAAAATAATTGTTAAATGCAACTATAAAAATCTGGAAACAAAGTGATCCCTTTGGAAGCATTAATCGCAACAAAATTACATGAAAATTATAAAGTCTAATCTGAACCATATATTGCCATTCATTCCCATATGTTTTAAAATAAGTTTGTTACACAAGCATATTCTTCATGTTTGTTTGTATTTTAACCATTTATATAATACGTGTTATCCACACACATGTATCTTAGCGTTATATTTACTTAGAATGTTACTTGTTACCTCATGACAATTTGTTAAATTGTGTGATGATACATTTCAGGGATCACCCGTTTGATAATCCAGAAAGAAGACGGCTACCAGGTCGTAGAAACAGAGACCATATTCCAACCGATAGGAATGCATTACAAAGGGGCACTCTTGGTGTTAGATTTGAAAAGGCGCGATGTAATATGTCTAAAATGATGGCTACCGATAGAATGGGTATAGATCTTAATAATTAGGGTGATTGACATGCATTGCTTAAGTACAACTCACAGCAACATAGTTTTGGTAAAATTCAAACCAGATCTAATATTAATACAAGTAAATTGGACAGCAGTGTAAATGGTTAACTGTCTACCCAATGATACAGAAACAAGTGAAGTACCTGGTTCCAACAATGCAGTGATGTAAGACGAATGATTACTGCTTTGCTTTCTTTGTTAAGTAATACAATGGAGACTTCTTCTGATATGTTAGCATATTTTCACTGATAAATAAATAAAGATAAGACAAATGTTTCTACTTTTATTGAACGTGTATAGAACAATCACTAAAAGTTTGGAATTGCCTTGATTTTTCAGATATAAAACAAAAAATAATAGTAACAAACACTGATATTGCATAAAAATAACATTCTCAAACATCATCAATAACAAGAGACCTGAATTATCACAAAATGGTCACAAAACCAGGTTTTCAGAACGAAGTGTCAGAGGCCTTGAAAATAATAAAACATACAAAAAAAATTTAGACCGCTAATTTTATGAAAATATTTGTTGAATACTCCTTAAAATACAGTACTAGTAATCTATTCTTAACATAAACAAAAATAACAGAGTATTCTTGCTTTTATATACAATTAAATAAGCGTTTCGAATGATCAAGTTTGACACAAAACTGCTAGCAAATCGAAGACGAACGAAAATGAGCATAACATTATACATTCGAAATTATTTAGGTCACAATAGTTCTGTGAAAGTCTAATTGAAATCCCTTGAAAAATTTAGGCCTTACACAAAGAAAAGTTTTCTCTATATATTACATTATTTGAAATCTGTCAAACATTATCAGATTACTAAACCCCGATATACACCTTCGGAAAACCTGGTTAAAATTATCACAGTAATTCAGAAATTATACTTAATAATCATAATACTTAAAACAATAAGAAAATATTAGAAAATAATAAAATAATAATAAAACTGTTTAAAACTGATTTAAACATATAAATGATCGCTGCCTGCATATGCACGATTTTCAAATAAATGATCACATTATCAAAATATTGCTTATATATCACATAAATAATCACAAGTCATTTCAGAGCATGCGTTAAAAACAACGCTAATACAAAACATTACAGTGATTAACTTGCTAATTATCACATGGATTAATTACCGGTAATTTATATAAGTGATCGTTGCATGTCTTTGCACAATCACTTTTAAAACACATAATTACACATACAAAATAAAATCATCGCAATAAAAAAAATTCTACATACAAACTGATTAATCTATTATTTATGAATTCACTGAAATGAGTATGAAATCATGATTTTTGAGTATCATGATTTTTGAGTACATAAAAAGCATAAAAAATAGGAACAGAGTGAAGTGTCGAATATTGGAATGCAAACTGAGATAAAACGTCCGAAAAGAGACTAACTTCTTGTACATTTATAGAAGAACTATACTTTCGTCAAGAAAATATCAGTCTGTGTCCTGTTTTACTGAACTAAACAAATTTGCCCTTGAAGTGACTCAATTTTATATTATGTTCTCTCTGAATGCATTCAGCTGAGCAAAAATGTAAAAAAAGGTACGGACGGCTTGATATATTTTCTTTTCTTAAACAATTTTGTAAGAAATTTTGATAAGGAAATCTTAATATTTGAATCGCTTTAAACATAACCAAAACGAAAAGTGATTGCGACTAGCTTACATCCAAATGAGTTTGTGTCAATTCAATCGGGTCGCTCATTGAAAGAAAGATACCTACATAGAGAATAATGAATGAGTGTAGGTTCTATATTGAATTTATTGCATGTGTTAAAAAATAATATTATGAGGAAAAGTTTAATAAATTTAGTAAATAAAAAATTTCCTATTCATTTGACTGGCGGTCAATAATAAAACTCTTCCACTTAGCGTGACGTTGCATCACTATGACGTCGGATAATTATCCATACATAGAGGATATTGAATGAGTGTAAGTTCAATACTGAATTTATTGCACGAGTTGAATGAAATTATATTATGCGAGCCTCTGGCGAGCATAATATTATTTTATTCAACGAGTGCAATAAATTAAGTAATGAACTTACACGAATTTAATATTCTATTTATCACATGCCCAAAATAAAGACCGTTTAAAGTGAAGTAAGAGTCATTTTTCATTGACGCGCCTATAATATAACGCTATCATTTAGCGCGTCTTTATAACGCTAACGACACTATGTTTGTATAACGCTAATGACGTCACGTCAAAATATATGCACGGCCGTGCAATACCATTTTTACGGAGTCGCAAAATCTGCACGGGTGTGTGATAAAGTGTTTTTAATTATGAATGAAATTCATATGGCACGTTGCTTCATAATTACATTCCACTTTAAATACACGTCTAGGTTGATAAATTTCTACATATGCGTTTCAAAATGTTGAAAAACCACAACACGAATGTAGTTTTGAGCAGATTACATATTTTTATGTTACAAAATGAAAAGGTGTTAAATATAAGATACTTGCGAAAAGTAAGGGAGAACATTCCATATATGTCGTCACATTTATCTTAAATGTAAACTGGTTTGAAAAAGTAAATACTGAAAGAAAGAAATAAAAAAAATTGTCAGGGTTGATGTGAAAGGAACGCCATAATTTGATCAAAATAATTACATGAAATTCATGAATTTGCCTATCATATTCTGGCGTTTTTCCCACAAACACCCCCCCCCCCCAAAAAAAAAAAAAAAAAAAAAAAAAAAGATAATCAATTTCTTAAAAAGATATTGAAGGTAACAGCTTTAAAAGAGTGACACTGAATTTTGCTTATTAATTTCTAGTGATAAAAATTTACTGACTAGAAAATATCTAGTTTTCTTGCATATCGGAGTTGGATTTTGATGTTTTTATCCATGCCAGACAGCTCATGCGCTCAGATGACGTCATTATCTTTAAGAAAGAATGGTTACAAAAATTGTTGTGACCATAACATTATTGTTTATGTTTACAGTTATAACACACAAGTAAAAGTAATAATTTTCTTTCTCCACGAGATTAAATGCCCTTATAATTGTTATATTGTTATATAACAGGTGTGCAGTTGACTATACACAGATCAAAAACGTTGCCAATGTCTACAAAATAAAGCGTTGAAAACGGTTAAAAAGTACAGTGTATATCAGAATGAAAGTGCCAAATCTTTATTTATTTTGTACTTCGGAAAGCTTCTTATTTGATATACATGTAGATATTTGAAAATTGCTATCAAGTTAGACTTTTGACAACACATTATCTAAAATAATGTTCAAACCACCGAATGTTGAATTGCTTGCTATAAACATATTCGAGTAAGATATACAAGAAAACATATCAGTCGTGAATAACGTATCGGAATTTAAATTATCCGTACCTTGGGCACCGTGCACAAGGGCTGTAAGTCAGCAAACCTCGTTACAAGCCCAATGCGCAGGCGCCCCCGGATCGAATATTTCTATCCAATACGTAAACACATGACATATATCATTATGCAACACAATATTCAGTTGTTTACTTTAGCTCTACAGGTCCTCTGATGCCGAGAAAGACCTGAGCGAAAAAACATAACTTTTCCCACACCTTGTACATCTATGGTTTCTTTCATGGTTATGTTTCACGGAAATATGATTTGACAGCTGGTATCTGTAACAAAATTCCTCATTACAGTTATCACATGAGAACCTTCTAGGCCCCAGGGGATGTACTTCGTTTACATGTCTCTTCAGGGCATGATTGGTAGCAAAGCTGGATTTGCAGTCACTGTGCTGACATGCAAACATCCTTGGCGCCCCATGCTTGTCGCATCTAAAACATAATGAAATTAAATACATAAATTATATAGATACAGGGAAACACTACAATCAAAACGAAAAGCGACATGTTTTTATTTGTGACTCTTGAGCGAAGTTTGAGGTGAGTTTACAATTCAGGTCTGAATACATCATGTTTGCACCCATTTATGTCGAATCATATAATCATAATAATTTAACTTTATAAATAAACTTTTTTATAATATCGGTTAAGTACGAAAATATATCACGTCACTATCATTTTTACAAACAGTTATCTGTAGTTCATGCGCCGATTTCATTAAAACCTTTTTATTATGTTTAAAACAACATTTCCAACTTTTCATTAGTTCTTTTAATTTTTCGAAGGAAACAGTATAAAAATAATTACCTATGCTGTGAATATTCATTTTTCTCCCGGAAAACCCGCCCACAGCAACGGTATGGGCCTTTCCCTTCGTGCCCTCTTTCGTGGCGTCTAAGGTCTTGTCTTCTCTTAAAGTTCTTTCCGCACACATTACAAAGATTCATTGCAGGACTGAAATTAAAGATACACCATATGACATTCTGTATAAAACACTTTCCAAAAGAACACTATTGAAAACTGACTGAAATATATGAAATCCACACCAAGTAGAAAAATGCGCCGTACGTTATCACTGATAATTTGTGCGCCATACGTTATCATTTCCGGAAAATGCCCCGATATTAATATTTAGAGCGGTAATTCTAGCCAGAATGGGCATGAATGCTTAGATGATGACATGTTACAACTTTTAAAAGTCAGTGGTTTCAGTAAATTTACATATAAGTTGAAGAAACAGTGAAATTGAGAGAAAAAGCCGTACGTTATCACGATCAAACCGGTGGAAATTTCTCTCGCTTCGAATCCTGTGACGCGCATTCCAGAAGAAGTACGGGACATAACATCATGAAATAAAATCCTGTGTGCGCGGAAAATTGTGGAGAAGGTTGTTATATAGTATTTTACACTAGAACATTACGAATTTCAGAGAAAAAAGGGAAAAACTCACTTTTCGGCTGCATCCGCCATCTTGTTTGTTATGATAACGAACGGCGTGATTCTCCCCCTTGTTAATACAAATGTACATTTTAAAAACAGAAAATCGGTCGAAATAAACATAGTCCAATTCGTAATCAGATCAGACTGTTATTTCTTTTATAAAGGTTATAATAGGAAATAGGTTCATGAAACATTTCCTTACGCTATTTCCAATAGTTAATGTACTTTTTTCGGAAGCCTGCATATTTGTATAAACATGTGTATATAAATTTATTACAATATTTTTTTTCAATAAATTGATCAGATCTAATGCAGCGTGTATTTTTACAACAAGTTCTAATAAAAGCAAACTCTCTTTAAAGACCTTGACCATAACCCCAGCCTGTCTTGACACTCTACAATATTCAATCAGACCTAGTCCAACTGATAAATTTTTAACCCCTACACCAGCCCCGCCACTTCTCCCGCCCCAACACGCCCGATACACATTTCCATTTGGGATGTTCACCTGCTGCATGCATGTTTGTTTCGTTTCTTTCTCTTTTCTTTTTTTCTATTCTTCAAGAATATTTTTATTGTTCCTTAATTTATTTGCCTGCATTTGAGTAGTTATACATTGCTAAGAAAATTAAGGTGCATTTTTACAATTTACGCAATTTAGGAAAAATATTCATAAATGTGAACATTATCTAAACTCTTTAAGCCAATGGGAATTCTACTTTTATTCGCTTTTTTTCCTGTGAGATTTTCAGGAAGTAAATGTTTGGTTTGTTTAAAACATATTTATTTAATTAAGCTCGATAGCGAAACAAATTCTTGCAACTTACATTAATTTCTTTCGAGTCCGCTTCCTGGTTTCATAATTATGAAGAAACATGGCCGTGTTCCGAAGGCCGATTATGACTCGAGCCCATGTTCCCTGGGTTGAAAGGCAGACACCTTAACCTTGGTCTGTGGACGAAGAGCTTCATCTTAATTCAGACAAAATCTCGGACAGTGCTATATTAAATGGACATACTTAATTAGTTTGTTTTTCACAATTTGTATTTTAATCGCTTTAAAGATTTAAACTTTTTAACTCTCTGTTTGTGTCTAGATTTAAATAGGTCAGGTAGGTAACGTCATTCGTCTAGTGTTGAACTGTATGAATGAATTTGCCATGTAATAAAACTTATGTAATGTATATATTGGTCTAAGTCACGTTCACAGTGTTCAAGGTTACATAGAAAACAATCCCGGTCACTGGCAAGTTTTTTTAAATGTAAACCCCAACAATTCAAGGTCGTCACCACTGTTAATTGTTTTCTATAAAATAAAAGATAATAATATATTGATATTGCAAACTTTAAAATTAAAACTTACAGGTCATGTGCTCGTTTAATTGATATTTATTGAGCGTTGCATAGGTTCTCTATGCCCCTTTCAATTACCTTACTGGGGAAGAAGATCACAAATGAAAAGGTCAATATGTACTAATTAGCAAGTAATTTGGTAATTTTTCTCAAAACTACCAGATTTTTGTTAAAAAGGCGACAAAATATGGACTTAAAGATTTTTTCTGAAACAAAATACAATATGTAGGGCAAGCTTAATTATCAAAGTTAAAGTTAGCACCTCAAACTCCCCAATTAAAGTTAAAAGTTAATTAAAGTTGATTCAGACTAAAGACACAAACGGCCCACGAAATATGTATATGTGGTCAAGGCCGTTCTTACTGTTCGGATGTTATCTATCGCTGTAAAATCTCAATTGCTATCGCATCTTGCAATTGAAGACCGACTGGTAGCCAGTCGCTGATCTAGTAACTACATAACTTCAAATGTCCTTGAAATACTTTTTTCACTGCAGATTAACCGTTTGACTTATCGGTCGATTATATAATTGTTAATTATAAACAAAGGTTTTCCAGGAAGGCGAGATTATCATTTTTTAAGTCCATGGAATAAATTTGTTTTGACCGACCCTTGCTTGGTGTTTCATAAGGTAATATTTTAAGAATAATAGAACTTTAATATGCAAGTGAGAAAACCAAACAAGGTTTGACCAGAATAGATTTACGGTCAATCCCTTCCCTTAATCCATAGTTGAGACGGTAGGAATGTATTATTGACCTTGTGTGACCAATTAATAAAAACTCCATACAGCATGTGTCCTGGTTAGTTACCAAGTACTAATATAATTGTACCGGTTATCGTTAGTATTTTAGTGCAAGTTAAGTACAAACTTCTTAATATAGATTAAAACTAAATACGAATAGACCGACATTTCTGGCCTCGAGGTTATATACAAAAAAATCAGGGTTTTTTCAGAGTTCAGTCTCAGATCCAAGGATTTTCATTGGCTAGTGTACATTCTGAGCTGGTTTCTGACCAATCAAATAATGGAGATCTGAGTTTTAGCTCAAAACATTTCTTTATAGCCTTTGACTCAAGTGTGTTTGAATTCTTTCAAATCGACCTGTTCAATACTGTTAACATACAGCATGTAATCTATTTATTTAAAATACTTTTAAAAGTTTCAATTCCAAGAAATGTACTTTAAAAGAAATAATATAATTGCTAAGGACATTATTTTGACGCGTTGATTGTCGCAACTACAATATCTTTCGCGTTGCACTCAACCGAAACGAAACTGTACAACTTTATTTCATTTTCTTTGCTTTGATTAATTATCCAATAACATAGCTCGATGCTCAATTCCGGACACTTGCATGCAATTAAAGGTTATTTTTACCTTTTGTTTTCTTTTTAACAGTGTGCCTCCGTACCTTTTGTCAATTTCGGAATCAGATCTAAATGCCAGCGTTTATGTTTAATAAAAAAAAAAGAAATGCGAACGCGTGCTGCTTTTTGTTGAATTAAGTTTAGTCATTGATATCATCCGTTGCTACTTCGGATACTGTGATATGCCGGGAAAGGTTTAAAGATATACTACAGTATGCTCAAATATGATATTAGAAAATATTGATAATTGCTACATGTACAATCTCTTTGTAAGTATAAAATAAACATGTTTAGACTTCACACAGAGCACAGATTTATGTTTAAAATTCCACATAATATAGCTGGTCACAATAGAAATTTATAGTGTAAAGAAAAGATCAATTTTACTTGACCTGTTATATAGGGAACGCAGCTTCCCATATTCAATAAGAATTTTATAGATTTCAATAAAAATATTGTACTCAAAGATGAACATTATATCTTTTATACTAGCTAAAACTTGTAATGAACACACTTTGGTCACTGAAGGTTACCCAATTCACATTGGTGGTTTTAACTGGTTTTAACAGCTCTCTCCCAACCGCACACACACACAAATCATGACTGTCCAAAAGCCAATAAATCCAGTTTGACTTACATTTAATAGACAAAATAAAAGATGGTTAGGAAAAACATAATTTTAACTAATCTATATGTTCATTATATTGAAATTTTATTCTCTAGCCAACGTCATATTAGTACAAATAAACATTTTCGTTTCCTACGCGAATCAAGGACTTTCGCGTAAATATAGATCAACATATTGAAAGAGGACAGAAATTTACCCGGATGTCCAAGATACAGGACAGGTTTATAAACTGGTGACCAGACGTTAACATTGTATTTTTCCAAATCAATAATAATAATGAAAAAGAAGTCGCCAGGTTAACACGGGTAGTAAAATAAACTGGTCAGTAGATTGGTGTGACTATTTCTTATATTATATAAGACTATTGCATAATTTAGCATGTATTTGTTATGTAGTTAGGGGCAATAAAATAATTGTTCTCTTTGCAATAGGTAGAAAAAAAAATCAAACGATTTAAAAGGCGAAGGAGCAAGGTAAAGAAAAGTAAAAACTTATAAACACTAAACTTGGACAGAAAACAGTAAGTCAGTGGAGATCTAATTATTTAGAGTTGTTATTTACGATATCAATGATATGTTGAAATTTCACTATTTCAAGATATTATAATAATGAAAAAATATATGCACAATGTCGAAAGCATCATGCCTATTCTATTAGTGGTAACACCACCTTTTGCATTGTTCCATTACTGGTGACACCACCTTTTGCATTGTTCCATTAGTGGTTACACCACCTTTTGCATTGTTCCATTACTGGTTACACCACCTTTTGCATTGTTCCATTACTGGTGACACCACCTTTTGCATTGTTCCATTAGTGGTTACACCACCTTTTGCATTGTATCCTTACTGGTGACACCACCTTTTGCCTTGTTCCATTAGTGGTTACACCACCTTTTGTATTGTTCCATTAGTAGTTACAACACCTTATTCTTGTATCATAGTTTGGGGACCTTTCTGTTGAAAAAGTGTCAGAGTTAAATCGTATACATATACATGCACAGTGCGGTAACTGGAGTGCAGGTATCAGTTACCCGCACTCCAGATCATGCCCGTTGATTGGCTCATTTTTGCCGGGGTTTACATATTGTGACGGCAGAGAAAGGGAAAGCGGCAGAAATATCATACTCAGATGCTCGATCATTGGTTACTTTTTCCCGGGGTTTAAAATTGTGACAAGAGGGAACGTGTTTTTATGTTTGACTATGATACAAAAGAGAAAGAACACCAAAACACTCGGAAATCTGATTTATACTCGGGGGCTACGCCCCCTCGTACAAATCAGATAGCCTCGTGTTTCGGTGCTCTTTCTATTACAAAAGACACGCTTATTATAAATAAGTAATAGAAAGAGCACCGAAACACGAGGCTATCTGATCTGTACGAGGGGGCTACGCCCCCGAGTATTAATCAGATTGCCGAGTGTTTTTGTGTTCTTTCTCTTTTGTATCATAGTCAAACATAAAAGCACGTTCCCTGTTGTCACAATATGAAACCCCGGCAAAAATGAACCAATGAACGAACATCTGAATATGACATTTCTGTCGCTTTCCCTTTCTCTGCCGTCACAATATGTAAACCCCAGCAAAAATGAGCTAATCAATGGGCATGCTCTGGAGTGCGGGTAACTAATACCCGCACTCCTGTTAACGTTTATGTTTACGATTTAACCCTGACACATTTTCAACAGAAAGGTCTCCAAACTATGATACAAT